GATGGCAGAAAGTGAGGAGGAATTAAAGAATCTCTTAATGAGGGTGAAAGAGGAGAGCACTAAAAATGGTCTGAAGCTCAACATCAAAAAAACACTAAAATCATGGCCACTGGTCACATCACTTCCTGGCAAATAGAAGGGGAAGATATGGAGGCAGTGAGAGTTTTTTCTTTCTTGGGCTCCATGATCACTGCAGATGGTGACAGCAGCCACAAAATTAAAAGATGCCTGCTTCTTGGGAGGAAAGCGATGACAAACCTAGACAGCATCTTAAAAAGCAGAAACATCACATTGCCAACAAAGGTCTATATAGTCAAAGCAATGGTTTTTCCAGTAGTGTTATATGGAAGTGAGAGCTGGATCATAAAGAAGGCTGACCGCCAAAGAATTGATGGTTTTGAATTGTGATGCTGGAGGAGGCTCTTGAGAGTCCCCTGGACTGCAAGGAGATCAAGCCTATCCATTCTGAAGCAAATCAACCCTGAGTGCTCACTGGAAGGACAGATCCTGAAGTGGAGGCTCCAATACTTTGGCCATCTCACGAGAAGAGAAGACTCTCTGGAAAAGACCCTGATGTTGGGAAAGTGTGAGGGCAAGAGGAGAAGGGGACGACAGAGGATGAGATGGCCGGACAGGGTCACTGAATTTAACCAAACTCCGGAAGGCAGTGGAAGACAGGAGGGTCTGGCATGCTCTGGTCCATGGGGTCACAAAGAGTCGGACAAGTTTACTGCTGTTGGCCCCAGGATTTATTTCATCTAAAAATAAGCTGGAAACAGAAGCAGAAAGCTGGAAAGAAAGAATCCTCCAGAACAGAACCCTGACACTTCACAAGCAACTTGAAGACAAATTATTATGCACTGAAATAAACAACTCCAACCAGTTTGGGGTGGTTTAGCGACATAAAACGGTCCTTACCTTGGTATTTTTTAGAATCATGAGGTCTGTGTTGTTGTTTCGTATTAAGAACTGCAGGTGCAATTCAATGGCCATTTCACCACTTAAAATCTTTATCATTTTGGGGATCTGGTCTTTTGACTCAGGGGTCTGCAGGCACAGAGAAAAAGACAAAAGACGGACACAAATAATAATCCATTAGCAAACTCAGCACATATATATATGTGAAGAATTGAGTGGGCTTAAACTGTAACAAACAAAAGAAAGGAAAAAGACATTTGGTTGTATAATAAAACTTGGCAGCTTTTAACAACGAATCTTAATTCCCTGTCATTTTTAAACTAAAACTTCTTTTTGATTTGCAAATCCCGTTTATTATTTTTTTGAAAATACCAGTCGGAAGATATTATACTGTGCATGCCACCAGCCAACGCTGGAACACAAGAGTCCACCATGTGCCACCCAAATATCAAAGGCTGTATTTCACCAAAAGCACTTTTATTCTTTTTTTTTTAAAAGGTAAAGTCAGCCCTTAGCTTCATTTCAAGTAATGGAGAGGGAACGTCGGCTCCTTCTATTTTCATTTGGTGAACGAGACAATAGGAGGCAGAGTCCCAATTTACAAGTTAAACAGCCACCCAAACTTAGTGCAAGAGTCTGGGGGTGGTTTTGGGGGTGGCACACACTGGATCGGGAAGGTAGGTGAGCACCAAAGAAACCTGTGCGGGATCACACTTTCTAAAAGGAAGAGACAGGTAAGTATAATTTAAAAAAGAAAAAGAGAGAGAGAGAGAGAGAAAGCAGAACTATGCTTAAGATATACTTTTCTTTCTCCTTATTCCATTTTATGCTTTCTCTTCTTGGACTCAAAAGCAAGCCTGAAGTCTGACTTCAGCAATGTCAGTATTTACCACTGCCATCATTAGCCAAATAAGGAATTATTTTGTTTCTGGCTTTCAGGGACAAAACACATCAATGCCCGGTTTAATAAAAAAGCAACAAATCTTTACATGGCTTCTGGCTTTTCCTGAAGTAAAAAAAATGCCACAGTATAAGCAGGCCCTTCCACTGCCCAGAGTGTGCTATCAGTCCCACCAGCTTCAGGTGCTCCTAAGCTAAGGAGGGAAGGTTACGCCGGCCGCTGACTCAAAAAGAGTTCTTTTAATGACAAGAGTCACACTAAATCTTTCTCTACCATGTCTTAAAACAGTTCTTAAGTTATTTCAATTGAGTATTCGTTGTCAATAGTTACCTTTCATGTGCCATCAAGTTGTTTCTGACTTCTGGCAGCCTTAACGGGGCCTTTGAGGTATGTGAAATGTCCAAGGAGTGGTTTTATCATCTCCTCCCACCCCACCCCCAGTGATTTTCCATGACTGAGAAGGGCTTGAAACCCAGGCCTCTTGAGTCCTGGTCTGAAACTCTTAACTAGTATCCCACGCTGGATGTCACAGTAAATTTACCTTAACATCATTGCTGAAATCCAGGAGTAAGTCACAACTACAGCAGACCTGTTGAATCAGTGGATTAACTCCTCCATACGTTACACTGATTCAATAGGCCTACTCTCAATTGTGACTCACTACTGAGATTTCAAGCTGTAATTTATTGTGCTCTTAGTTGTATCCAGTTTTTAATCCACGTTCTGAGTTTGCAGTGGGGGGGGGGAAGGAACCCCAAAAAATAAACAAGAAACCAGAAACTTTCCCACCATGGAAAATCTGCTGCTCTCCAAGACCAATCTGTTCCAGAAGATCTGAAGGCAATAAGTTCATCGTGAAACAGGGTCAAAAGCCTAAAGCTTAGGCTTGCATTTCTAACCTGCCACCCTATAAATGTGTCCTGGGCTACATGTCCTATCCCGTCTGACCCACAAAATCAGTGGGCTTATTGGTTGGTATTGTGGGGAGGGCTGTAGTCCAACATACCTGTGGAGACGGCAGGATATCTTTAAAAAACCATTCCAAAGCCATGCAAGGCTGCAGTGAGACAAGATGTGTGTTCGCTGTGTAGGTGGTCTGGTTACTTACCGTTTGGGCAGACTTCACGGCAGCAACAGGACTATTTGACTTTTCTTCTGTCTCCATGGTGTCGCTGAAAAACAACAAATCTATGTGACTGCAATTATGACAAAAAGGTCAAAACAAACACGTGAAGACCAGGCAACCATTTGAAACAGAGACCCCCCCCCCACCCCCCCCCCCCAAACCCTCTTATGTGACTGCAATTATGACAAAAAGGTCAAAACAAACACGTGAAGACCAGGCAACCATTTGAAACAGAGACACCCCACCCACCCACCCCTCCAAACCCTTCTACGTGTCTCCCCACGTCCTGAAAACCACAGCATAGTTGTGTTTTCCAGGATCAAGTCATTGAAAGTCAGTGGGAGAATCAAGTGACCAGTAGCACTTTCAGCTGCACTGGCAGGGCGAAGAAAGGAACAAGATTCCTTTCTTCTGGACATGCAATGTTGCCGGACTTAGCCTTTCAGGCTTTTACGGATGGTTTAAACAAAAAAGCAAGGGTGAATGCTCAAATAGGACTTTCAACCTGTCTGAAACGGTACAGTTCTGCCAAATTTCACAGCGAGGAGGACGCTTTGCCCGAAGTAGGAAAACGAACGAAACAGAACACGCAAAAGAGATTCTGATAAGGCATGGCTGACAATGCTGAAGTCATGCTTGTGTCATGTAAACCTGGCTCTTTTGTTTTCTTTTAACAGCAGGTCTTCAGCATGCCCTGCTGTAGAAAGCTACCACTTTAAGGAAAGTTCTTAAATGTTCAGCACATGGAACAGTTCTGTGGAATAAACAAAAAAATAGCAACCAAAGCCAGACTCGCCTCTTGAGTTCTTTGAGAGCTCATCCACACAACCTGTCTGAAACGGATTGAATGATCATCCTCTTTCCCCCTACTATTCGATAAGGGAAAAGTAAACCTATCAAAGAGAAGATTCTACTCTTTCACCAAACAACAAGGACCCAAATTTGCACCGGGGGGGATTCAAATGAATGTATGGTTTTACGGTGCACAGGTGCTCCACAGAGAGGGGAGAACAGAGGACTCCCTCTTTCTTCTGCCCTCTGCCATGCTTAATCCTACTGGATTTCCTGAATCAAAAACCTAGCCAGATCGGCATCCTGTGATCTTTTACGTCTGAAGACTAGCTCTGTTACACAGAGACCCTGGCCTATTTCTATGCACCATGCAAGCTGACTGAAGAGGCCACACGGCATTTTACAACGCTTGCCCCTCAAGCTGCTTGGAAGCTTCTTCCACCAGCTGCCTTACCCTTCTTTCTCCGACCCAGGGACCGTCCCTGTGTTGGTGGACCCGGGCACGGAAGCGATCGGAGTGCCGACGGTACGAAGGTTCTGAATCACGGAAGAGAGGAACTGCTGGCTGGCGCTTTCATACAAGTCAAAGCAAATCTGGTAGGCCATCAAGAGGTTGTCCTCCTTCACCAGCTTCTCCAAGATGTCGCTAACCGCCTGGGGGTCGTCCAAGAAAATCAGGCACTGCAGGGGAGAAAGCCAGTAAAACCAAGTCAGGTTGGCAATGATTTAATTCCGCCCTGCATAAAGGTTTCCAGAAATAGTTATCTGAACTAAAAGGAAATATTTCACATAGGAGATGCACAGGTGGGAACGCTGAAGACAACGTTATCTGATCAGCATTCTCAAGGCTCCTCATGACTACAGACACGTTTTCTTTGCCTGTCTTCACAAGAACCCACTGAAGCAGGTTAGGCACAGAGTGTGCACGGCTCAGGGTCATCTGAACAGAAACCTGAACTGAGCTCTCAACCCTACACTTCCTATTACACTGGCTCCTCTTAAGGACCCAATCATTAGGAGTAGACAAGTAACCATTAACATCTCTGGTTAAAACAGCCATGACAATATGAGAGTAAGTGCTTCACCGCAGCTAGATGCTGTCCTATAATTCTTTCTAGTTTCCCTTGAAGCACAACCTGCAAAAGGGATTAGACAGAATTTTTTAAAGCAAGGTTTGAAAGGGAAGAAAAGAGAAATATTTTAGCAAGTTAAATTACTTCCAGAAAAGAGCTATCACAATTCTTACAGACATTTTGTTTCCAGACGTTGCTTAGTACTTAATATATATATTTTATCACTCTCTTTCTCCCACGTGCTGGAAGCCAAAGGCACATCATCACCTGGACAACATCTTTCTTGGCCCTACCCTCTCTTTCCCTATCACTGCAGTCATAGCTAGGCACATGTGACAACCCATGCAACCTCTCAAAATTACCTGGCACACGTTGATGAAATCAGGTTTTTCTAAGTTCATGTAGATTTTAACCAGAACTCTCAATACCTGGTTGCGGAATTGCTTATTCTGCATCAAAGACATGCAGAGCTTTAAGCTGTAGGCCAGCATGCCAGGAACATCATTCTGCAAAAATTTTTTAAAAAGCATTAAATAATTTTTCTCTATTTTTCAATTACTGATTAACATCTAACGATCCAATGTCTTATCTTTTAGAGAAAAACAAGCGTTATGACACAAAGTAAACTGACTAAAGGGGAATCCAACAAGAATCTTCAAGTTGGCGGAGGAATAACATTAACAAGAAAATAGAAATAGAATGCAGATGAATCAGAGGTACAGCTCATTCTACACGGATGATAGTTAATGTTTTGAGAAGCAGTGCAGTATAGTGCCCAAGAGTACAAGCCATGATGAAAGAACTCTTGTCGTTCAAGTTTTATTTGAACCAAAACTCATTTGATGGGTTTAGATAAAACAGTGTTGCTTCATCCCATCCATGGGATCAGATGCATGGACAGTGCTCCTCAATTCCATTCACCATGATTATCCTGGAGTGTATGGTATCACCCTCTGTCAAAGGAAATAACACCAACACAGCTGTGTCTCTCACTCTTATGTTACGCTGCAGGCTGGAGGTTCTCTCACTCCGCTATGCAATAAGGAAAAAGCATGCAACATAAAATCACACACATTCCCCAGCAACCTGCCGTTCTATAGCCAATGCCTGCTCCAAATGTCAGAAGGGGTGCCCATGAGCAGCAGAACTGCTTTTTGCTTCCACCTACCGATTCCAAAATGGTTTTCTCAAAGATGTCCAGCCTGCGGGTCTCTAAGGCGATCCCAATGGCTTGCTTGTATTTATGGTCGTCTAAACAGCGCTGGAACATCTTGTTCACAATCCCTTCCAGTCTTGGATCAACCGCCTTCTTGGCTCCCTCCGGAAGTTCAGCATTTTCCACGCACTGCTTGGTATAATGGTCAATGCATTTGGCTGGGAGAAGAAAACAGGAACATCTCACTGTCAGTCTCCTCAATAGTCACAGCAACATCCTATCAAGGCATCTTTGATGTGGAACTCGGCCAGGGTTACTGACCTAGAACTGCAACTCCAATGTATGATCCAAATCTGAATGTCAGATGAAATAATCAGTGGGATAACGAGTTTTATGAACAGACAGATGGAGTGGCCATGGGCAGCCCCCGCAGCCCGGTTATAGCAAACTTCTACATGGAGCATTTTGAAAAACCTGCCCTGGCTTCAGCACCCTTCGCGCCCACAGTCTGGTTCTGATATGTGGATGACACCTTCGGAATTTGGAACCACGGTGAAGAAAAACTAGAAGAATTTCTAAACCATCGCAACAGCATCCACCCAAATATACAAATCACCATGGAAAATGAAATAGAGGGCCAACTCCCTTTCTTAGATGTCATGGTCATACGCAAAACTGACCTCCTATTGGGACACAAGGTCTACAGAAAACCCACCCACAGAGACAGGTACCTACACAAAAACTCCAACCACAACCCAGAGCAAAAAAAGAGGTACAATCAAAACACTGGTAGACTGTGCAAATTGAAACTGTGAAGCTCAGTTTCTCAGCACCAAACTCAACCATCTGAATTGGGCCCTACAGGCAAATTGCTACTCCAAAAATGAAATCACAAGAGCCATCAAACCAAGAAAACAACACCAAACTGAAGAAGAAAAACAGCCACCCACAAATAAAGTATTTCTGCCATACATCAAAGGGGTCCTGGACTGCATGGGGAAACTTTTGAAAAAACACAACCTACAAACAGTATTCAGACCCACCACAAAAATACAACAAATGTTACGGTCAGCAAAGGACAAAAGGGACCCCCTCACCACTGCATGAGTTGTGGACAGGTATATATCGGGACCACAAAACGCAGCATTCACACCAGAATCAAAGAACATGAGAGACACTGCAGATTAAAACAACCGGAAAAATAAGCAGGAGCTGAACATCCCCTGAAACAAGCTGGACATGAAATTCTATTTCAAAATACTGAAGTACAGGACAACAACAGCAATTTGTATGTTAGACTGCACAAGGAAGCCACTGAATGTTCCTCTGTTCCTGTTCTCCTCTGGGTAGGGACAGGTCTCTTCCTATCAATGTGACACCTTCACCCCAAAGGTCCTTAGAGCTGAAATACTGAGCATGGCATCAATTACACATTTGCTCAGGAAAACTGAGCAATGGGATCAGACAACACTTCTAATTTCCAGAATTTGAAAGTGACAGGAGGCAAATCTAGATTTTTTTTAGTTCTTTCTCTTGGAAAGTTTATTGGATTTTACTAAAAAGAAAAAGAAAAAAAGGTGACTTACCAATGATTGTTTCCACATATTCTGAGTTGTCATTGACATTGAAGAGGTTGCCTGCTCCCAGGGCATAGTTCAGTGATTCTTCAAAGGCTCCAAGGTGATAGAACACCTTGGAAGCCACCAAAGCAGCAAACTCACGACTCCTGAAGCCAACATCTTCATACAGGATTTCACTACAGAGAAAGAGAGTAGACCCACCTTGTTACTGCCTCCAAACATAAACAGGTTTTACATTTCAGTCTTGCAATGATCAACTGGCAGTCGCCAATCCATAAAAAATTATCAGTTCCTGAAAGGTGGAACCCCACATTTTCCCATACACTAAGACAGAACATCATTACATTTCTCTGCCTTTGGAATTAATTGACTAGCTGGTCTCAGGAATAAAGTATGTTTCTTACATTTTATCCACTGATTCAGAGATTTCTGCCCAGAAGTCATTGACAACAGCATTCAGTTTGTGAAGAGCAAATTCCTGCAAAAATAGTCAAAACCAGATTACTAGAGAGCATTACATCCAGAGTTATGCCAAAAGAGATGAAAAACCAGCTATCACCAGATGACTAGGTAATAACTGCCTAAGAAAGAGGTAGTAGCTTTCAAGGCAGATGTGGCAAAATACATGTTCCTCCAGGTCTTGCAGAAGAAAATAAGTACACAGAAATGGCCAACATCATGTATCAGTACATATACTCAGCAAATTCATTCTCTGTTGCTGATTCTGGCAAGCAGTCCAGTTCTATACGGATTCACAACCTAAAAATCTTAATGATCTCTTGCTTAAAGCAGAAGCACATTGAAAGTTAAAGCTTACCTTGAGTTCAGGCTCTTCTTCATCCAGAAGTGAAATAATTCCAGCTACAGAAGAAAGATCTTGTTAGCCATGTCAAAGTTGTAGGCATCAAAACACACAAACAAAATAGACTAGCTTCAGAGCTGTCACAGTACAGAAAAACATGTTGAAATGGATGTACAAAAGCTACATTGTGCAATACATCTACATATAACAAATCTTGATAACCACAGTTAGCTCAGACTTTTAACAATAGTGATCAGCCACATATTATCAAGAACCACTCCTGCACATTTTTGGTATCACTTGGCAGCAGGACAAAGTCCCAAACAGAGTAGTCCTAGAACAAGCTGGAATTTTTAGCATGAATACATTACTGAAACAGCAATGTCTACATTGGCTTGGGCATGTCGTGAGAATGGCTGATCATCGGATTCCAAAATATCTCCTGTACGGAGAATTAGTGCAGGGAAATCACCCCAGAGAGAGACCACAGCTGAGATACAAGGATATCTGCAAGTGGGATCTTAAGGCCTTAGGAATGGACCTCAACAGATGGAAAACCTTGAAATCTGAGCATTTACGGCCTCTCCCAATTTGAAGAGACCCTTGTCCAGCAGGCCAAGGCAAAGAGGCAGTCTCAAAAGCAGCAAAATCAGGGAGCTGGACAGGGGAGATATTGTATTTGTCCTCAGTGTGGGACTGCCACTCTCGAATTAGCCTTCTCAGCCACACTAGACACTGTTCCAAGTCCACCATACAGAACATGTTACCATAGTCTCTCGAGACGGAAGGATGCCTAATCCTAATAACTCCTGCAGTAACCAGAGTGAAATAAACAAAACATAGACTAGAACTCTGTGCAGTTCTACTTAGAAATAAGGTCTAGACTTGAGAGCATCAGCATTTGAGACCATGTAGAGGGACTGTATTTCCATTTAATTACAATGTGGGATATTACACATTCACTGCTAAATTACTGGATTGTTGTGGAGGCTTGTTTTCTGGGCAGTATGAACAACTAAACTTGAAAGATATTTGCCTTCTGCTCAAAGGCTGCAAGCAGCTCCTCTGAGGGACAAATGAGAATCACCAAACGACCAGGCAACGAACTTGGTGAAAGTCGTATCTGGTTTTCTGGCGCCTGAACAAATGGCCTCTTTTACTATAGTCACGTAAATTAGAGATAAAAAGTATGGGCTAATAGAGGACAGAGCATATGTTAAGATAGTTGTAAGGATGCAATTCCGAAACACAAGATGAAACTGACCACAGAAGGAGAAAAGAAATAATTAAAGCTGAATGCAAAGCTTTCTTCTCCTTCCTGAAAGCCTCATCACACATCAACCGCACTGCTGCATACAAAAGCCAAATTCTGATCAATGAGAAACTAGCAAACAAAAAGAAAAACAGCTTTCATGGCCAGTGTAAATCTTCTAAATAAATATCTAGCACGCTTAAGAAAATCCTCACAATGTATTCGTGAATCCTCACAAACTAGCATTTGTAAACTCTTCAGGATAAAAAGGGCTCGGTGAAAGGTTAGAATAGGAAAACTGAGCCCCACCACCTTTACATTTTCGTATTTCTCCAAAACGTTCCAGAGAGTGTCAAGAATCCTCACTCATTCACTTTATATTTCTAATCATCTTGTGTGGTAACCTAGAGTGGCTTGTTTACATCAAATATTTATTTATATATCTCTTTACTATGTTTATATTTTAGCAAAAAAACTCTCTAAAAGTAGTTTACAAAAAATTGAGACTTACTAACACGTTATTACAAAATTGTCTAACCAACTCAGCGAGTGTACCTGTAGATCTTCCACCTTTGAACAGAGGAGCAGCCTTCCTCACTCAAAATCTGATCCCTATTGTGGCTATTTTGGAAAACAATCGTTCCTCCGCAGCATATACCCCTCAAGCCCTCTTTATGAACCTATCAAGTAATGACGTGGACCCTGCTGTCCTCAGAAAACTGACTTGACAGCAACTGCAATCCTCACAGGAAGATCCAGGTGGGAGCTGCCCTCTTTCTAGCTGATGTCAGTGACTGTTTTGACATTTTAATTCTTCTGGAGAAACACATGATGTCCAGATCAGATCCAGAGGCAGAGACAACAACACCCAGCAAAACAGCATCACTCTGCCATCCATCAAAGGCCATTGACAGAGTGGATATCGGATGTCAGCTCTCCTAAATGGTAGGTTGACACACGAACCACTTTACCACATGGTGTCGATCTGGACACTACTCTGGCCCACAAGAATGAAGTCTGGCATTTAACAAGCCACTCTAAGGGAGAGAAACAGGGAGGAGCTTCCCCCCCCCCAAAAAAAACACACCCCTCTGGTGTTGTTTGATGCATGTCTTTTCTCTCTGAAGTCAAAGTTTACTATCCCTCCACCCTCAATCAGGTACAGAGACATTTCCAAGTTAGGTTTAGAAGTAGCTGGGTTAATCTGTGCTATCCTATCAGCCAAAAATGAAAGAAAAAAATAAAGAAGCCTTGAGGCACCTTAAAGACTAACTGCTGTGTTTTAGTGTGAGCTTTCATGGGCAAGTCTGCTTCCTCAGACATGAGGTCGAAGAAAGACAGAATCGTGGTGTCGAACAGAGCCATCGCCTCCAACCCCCCGTCCACCCCACTCAAGGCAGGAATCCAAATCAAAGCTGATCGGACTGAGGGTGGTCTTCATATTTTCTTGAAGGGCCACCGCAGCGTTGGGAGCGCTCACCACCTCCCCCTGAGGTCACGGCTTCCCTTGTGGAACTGCTCTAACAGTTAGGAAGTTTTTTTTTCCTGAGATTCAAATCTGAAATCTGGCTTCCTGTAGCTCCAGCCTATTATTACACATCCTCACACTCTGGGAGGATCGTGAGAACAGGCCCTGCCCCTCCTCTGTATGACTGGCGACTTTCAAGGATTTGAAAGTGCTTTCCTGTCTCCCCCATCAAGTCTTCTTTTTTTTCCCTCCGGGCTAAACAGGCCCAGGTCTTCC